TATTTCCAGTTTTTTGCAGCCACGGGAGAGCAGCGCTGTATTGGATAGAAACTATATATTTGGGCTGTACAATGAAAGCCAAACAAGCCAGTAGCACAACTGCCTGGGTTCTGTCTAAGGGAAAACCTGGAAACATAAGTTGTGTCGGCTATGACATGATAAACTCGGGGTAAGCTTTGAAATGAGATATTTTTATTATATTATAACAAAAATGAAGAAAGCAGAATAATAAATGATATTATGAAATGTTGGTTGACAGACAGCGTATGTATGAATATATGGTTGACTAACAAATAACAGGTTGAAGGTTCGTATATCTTACCTGTCCTGTGCCTTTAGCCAGACGCCACTTTAGCGCTTGTCTATAGAGAGAATCGAAAACTAAATGTAAGGGGATGACACTGACAAGTGTCAATATTTACGTCAATTCCATATAATTTGGTTTTCTATTCTACATGTAGACAAGCGCTAAATGGCATTTGGCTACAGCTGCAGGGCCTTTAGCCAAGCGCCACTTTAGCGCTTGTCTACAGAGAGAGTAGAAAACTAAATGTAAGGGGATGACACTGACAAGTGTCAATATTTACGTCAATTCCATATAATTTGGTTTTCTATTCTACATGTAGACAAGCGCTAAATGGCATTTGGCTACAGCTGCAGGTAATATAAAGTGTATATCTATGTTACAATAAATGTCAATCTTAGGTTCTCCTTGAAAATCTTAGAATTTACAGACACACATAAGTTGGTTAATGTAAAGATTTATAAAAACGTCGACAAAAATTGAGGGTAGTTTCAGTATTTGGACATAGGTATGTGTATATATATGCCTATAGGCAAGTAAAATTTTGCCTTCTATTTATTGACACAGTGTGCGTCATCTGCAACGACAACGTGCCTCTATAGTTGCAATCAATGAATCTTGAATCTTCTTACCTGGTTTTTTCAGTCTCTTACATTGGTAAATAGTAGTTAATAATACTACTTTATTAACTAAAAATAACACTTTATTCTGTAAATAGACTGAGACTAGCTGACTGAATCCCCGGTTGGTGCGGTGGGTAGGCAACCGACTGCCGCGCAACGTGTCGCAGGTTCGATTCCCGCACGGAGCAACTCTTTGTGTGATCCACTAATTATTGTTTCTGGTCTGGGTGTCATGTGTAGGTGAACTTGTGTGTTTGTAAACGCACCCACGATACAGTAGAAAATCATAGTATGGGTTAGGGTTTTTATTTAAAAAAGGTTCTAATAGTTTCTTGTCTCTGAGGGACAGAGGGACTCTTCATCATGAGCCCACACTTTATTAATTTCTTTACATTTTAATTTACAGAATCGAAGGGAACTTTTATTTACACACCAAAGCAGAGCCTCAATTTGGTATGGGTGATGATGGAGCGGAACCGGATAACTACTTGTACTAAGTATTGAGTATTGAGTATTGAGTACTTTTTGCGATAAACTTACAAATACGTACTTACTTTAAATATAAGTGCTGCTGTCACTGTCTTTAAATAATATCTAGTATTTTATATATATGTCGGAGAAAATGCACCCAATGGGGGTACTTCGTCATCGGATTCTTCGTAAACGCGGTAAGTTCGGTACGGGCTGGCAGAACAACCGCTCACTCTCGTGTCCAACTCAAAAGTGACGCCTTTCAAATGCCAACATGCCACGCCCCGTACCGACCATCACCCAAGCACACTGCTTGACGTTTCCGACAAATGATAACAGATGGCGTTGTTCTAAAATAACGATACTCGATAGTTGTGCATCTTTGTTGATTCTGCGACATATATATAGAAAGTAATAGATATTTATTATTTCCATATATTTACTTTAGTCCCTTTAAAATTACATTTTTAAATACCATAATATTTAAAAAATAGGAACCGACCATTAGCGGGAGTATGGTTCAAGCTACCGGTGGTTCGGGCTCCAGAGACAGAAACCTCCTCACGATACGTGCAGTTTCTAGCAGAACTGCCTTCTAAGTCAGGCCCTTCATCTATCCGCCTAACGCCAACCTCCTAAGCTTTTAAGCATTAACCCATTGGTCGATACGACTATCGGCATAGTGATAGCTGAACCCACATTCCACATGTCAACAACCTCGTGAGACAAGTTACCTAACAATTTAGGGTAGAAACGTTGTATTCTTGTGGTATGAATAAATAAAACCATTTAAAGATAAACTTATTATTTTTGACCATTTTGACCATTAATGGGTCGAGATATTTTATTTGTTTATATTTCTCCATTTTTGACGAGGTTCCCGTCATGGGGAATGGCGCGCTAGTCGGTCTATCAGGTTTATTGTTAGCTACAATAGTCTTATCAGTGATGTTAGACCAGTACCAAAACAGCGTGAAATGGCCATTTTACAGAACATACCTATAGTACTGTAAGTATCTCAGACTGAACAAGTCGGTATCGCAAACCAAATCACTGATGGATAATCTTGGTTACCTGATTATGTCTATGCAAGTATTCGCTATTAGCGAAACGACCACAGCCAGAAATAATATGTCTAATGGATTCACCAGGACTATGGCATGCCGGACGTACTATGTCATCTGTCTCTTCCTTAACAATATATTCGTCCATAATTGCACAGACAGACAAATCGTTCAGTTCCTCCAAAGATATTACTGAATCGAAGCCAGGACGCCAGTAAACCTACAGTGGGGTCTTGAAGGGCTCAGAAGAAGCGTGCGCTCCTTGCGGTCATCGACGGTCAGTACCATAGGTTTGCTCCATGTCTTTTGCAAAGGATAGTGGAGTGAATTGATTGCTCACTGCTGCTACTTCTATGGACAAGTTCACGATTGTGAAGGGTCTTAGGATTTGATAAGGTTCGCCCTCCACATTTCCGTCGGGTGTACAACCTTATGACCGCTGAACGATGATGCATTCGATTTGCAGTGAGCAGTGTGCAGACTCGCCTATCCACGGAGTCAAGTTCAGTCTAAGTCCACTTGAGTATGCCAATAGAATACACTGCAACCGGCATGACCGAACTGTTAAAGACTTGCACCTTGTTCTGTTTAAATAAGGAACTTTTCAATATCCTATTTAGGTGGGCAAAGAAGCTCTTCTGTAACGGTTGCTTCATATTCGGCCCATTAATGCCTAATCCTTCTGACATACCCAAGTACTTATATGTATCGTTTGCGGAGAGTGATCACAGTTTAGTGAAATCTGAGAGTTCGAGACCCTCAGATTCCACAATCCCTCTTCGTTTTACATGCTTAACCGCACACCTGTCTACTCCAAAGTCAATTCTGATGGAATTACTAATATCATTAGTATTATTATAAAGGTTAAGATGTATTTATTTCTCGTGAAGAATAACATACATAATTCGGTTACTGAGAAACAATGTTTGACCTAAAACTAAGCAGAGAGAACACAGTAGTACGCATGTACATGTAAACAAAAAAAAATAAAAAAAAAGTGTAAATGTGGTGAATACGATAAGGCAAATATAAATATTCGGTACTTAAAAATATGGATGAACACACAAATAACTATTTAATGTGATCAATCATAGTACAGATTATAATCATAGTACTTTATAGATTAATGAATCAACACTGAAATATTGTTTCTTCATCTTCTTGTATTGTTTAAATAGGTAATAAGTAATTGTTTTAAGCATTCACAATTCTTATTAACTTCTAAAAATATGATAGATTAATTATACGAACTAGATTGTCAGTGTATTTTTTCGTGTTAACCATTAAAGATTGTATATTAAATACAACCGAGTTTCATTTTATCAACTACCTACTTGATACTTTTTGAAATGTGCTGGCTCGACCGGAGTGACATCACGGCCTCACAAAAAACTGACATGAAACAACGCTTGCGTTGTCGCGTCGCGTGAGCTGAACCTAAAGCGGAAGATGATGTGTGACTCCCTAGTTACCGACCTAGACTATATACCGTAAGCGCGGGCCTGCGGACGGCGAGCATGGATGGCCCGCTGCCCGACCAGAACCACACCCGAGCGTACGGCGCGCCTCAGCCCTATTGGGCTGATGCCGATTCGGAGTCGCGGAGGGTTACCGTAGCTCCGGTTCGAAGTGCAGGAAAAGGAACGGGGTGGTTTTTAGTTAGTAAGAGTCTGACACTCCCTTCTGCCTCAACCGCAGAAGACATTCGATGATTATCCAGCCTTAAAAAAAACTATATGTACTTAGCTATATTGCATTAAGTTATTAATGCAGAGTATAATATTTTTATACCTACAATAGCAACATTTGCTACATGATGTTCATAAATAATTACTTCAGTTTAGATTTTGTTATGCAGAGTTATATTTTTATATAATGGCAACACTTGCTAATATTAATGTTCGTAAATAAAATGTTTGCTAGATACCTCTTATTAAAATATTATTTATTGGATGTTTTAATAAGTTAATTATTATTTTTACTTTTACTATTATTACAAAAATATGAAAGTTTTAGTTAATTAGTAAATTATTTGAGTGAAGCTCTTTTTTTAATTAATGTTTGCGTAGAACATGGCAATGTTTGACGTTACACACTTTTGGCGGGAATTGAAAAAGTTCGGTCGATCGTAGATGCTTAGATTGTAAAATTAATTAAAAATATATTAAAAAGTAATTGAAAGTCGTTACGAGTCTTATTTCCTGACCCTAATAAATGGATGGCAAACTTTATTCGCAAACTTTATACATATAGGTATATAATAATCGCAAAAATTATATAGGTATATATTGAAAATTCAACCCCTAGTTAAAAAGTAAGTAGCTAAATTTTAACCGTAACTAATCTGCCCAATTAACTGACAGGAAAATAATGCAAACATTAGGCTGACCTTACTTTAATTTTAACAGTTACGATAGGTACTTACACTTGGACATCTCCAAGGTTTGCTCTCCAACTTCCGCGATAGTTAATATTGTTTCGGAGTCATCAGCGATTGTATTATCAGCTTTGCGATCAGTTCCACCGTAATATTAGACCGCTGCGCGCGCATCCTTGCACAGACAGACGCGGCGCGTGCCGGCTGATGTAAAAAGTGGCGGGAAAAGTGACAATACAGATAAAAAATCTCAATCATCATTTTTATAATCTTTAAAATAAAATATGTGGAGTGTTAAAAAAATGTGGTTTACGACGCCTATTTTAGTGTTGATAGGTTGGTTACATTTTTAAACTGCTATCAAATGTCTTATGTCTAATTATTTTCGTGAAATAACACAAAACATAGTACCTATATTCAAAAATAAATAAAAATAATGTGTAACAGTTTTAAATATAAATATTTACTTTGTTATTCGTCAGTTGCGCAACGAAATGGACAAATGACATTAAAATAATCATTAACTTTTGTTTTTTCTAAAATAACATTCTATTCATTTCAGGTTCACTTGGATTTAGTGAAACTGCATATTTACGGTGTTACCAAGGGTAAGATAATATTTGAATCGTTGTTCTATTCTATTTAATAATTAACGATTTTTGTATCGAACTTTTCGACATACTTCGACCTACAAGTATCAATAAACGCGAATCATAATACTCTAATCAAGAAACTTAGGCCCGTTTTCATCAACTCTCCTAATTTTTAAGAAACCCCTAAGCCAAGTGAGGTGACATTCAATGATATTGTATTAGTTTGTACCAAGCTGTAAGTGACACCTAAAGGTGAAGATAACAGATTAATTAGTTTAAATGCTCCGCTCCCTCATGCTAAGTAACTCTTTGTTAAGAGAAGGTTAAAGGGTCGTTGATAAAAAGGCGATTGACCTGTAGCAAAATTAACTTTTAAATCTCTGGATTAAATTACGGAAATATACAGGGTGGCCCGTAGAACATACGTGGCGGTGATTTGGATGCTCCTCATTATATAGTACTTATCTAAATTTTACGCTTGAACGTCAACTCCCTGCTCACCCTGTACATCCAGGCAGAAATATAAGCCATTTTTATAATATAACGCCTTACAAAGAATTTTTTTCGATGGTTCTCGACTGGTTTCAAGCTAAATTGTCGAACAGTTTATGAACTCCCGAAAGTATTAATTATTAAAATTGATACCTATGTAGTCCGCCTTTAGAAGTGAACACAGAAGTAACACCCACTTTTCACTTTCTATGTTATGAGTCCCATGTAATAGGGGGTGAGCCTATTGCTACATACCGGGCACAATTCCAAACTCCGTGCTACTACTGAGATTTTTTTAAAAACCCAGTAATACTTTGCCCGACTCCGGAATCGAACCCGTGAACCCTTGCCCGGCAGTCTCACTTGCGACCACTCGGCCAACGAAGCAGTCACCACCAGTTATTCTAGAATTATAGCAACTAATATTATCTACGTAACAAAGTTAATCTAAAACTTGTTTTGTTAACTAATCAATCGTCACAGCACGGTTTATATCTAGCTGAGCTGGTTATTGATGAGCCAAAGGATCGATTCCCGAATAAAGCAAGTTTACCTATACATATTATATGTACCTAAATAAAATGAAAAATAGGTAGTATGTTTGATTAAAACAGTATGCTGCTGATACTAGTACCTATAGTGGAAGATCTGTCGCGGAGAACTTAACGGGTAACCGGGGCTCCGGCTCGACGTGCAGGAGACGGAACGGGGTGGTTTTTAGTCAGTAAGAGTCTGACACTCCTCCCGCCTCACCTAGGCGGGAGCAGTCATTCGATAATTTTCCCTCCTTAAAAAAAAAATAGTGGAAGATCTGAAACACGTAATTCTGATCCGACACTTGTTGACTGAACATCTGTTTTATAAGTACATACATTATATAAGCTTACTTCCAGAAGGCCTTCCTGATAATAATGTTATTGATTTGGATAGTCCTCTTTCTGCCCTTAGGGCCAATTTTTCCAACGCCAGATAAATTTTAACTGAGGCATAACTGAATATTTGACAATTCCTCCATTCGGAAATCTGTCAACTGTCAATTTTATTCTACAGAAAATTAAGTGATGATTGAAAAGTCGGCCATTTAAAGTTACATAAGGTGAGACAAAGAGGGCGTGATACCTTTCAATTTTCATATCAGTGTTGGCAGAGTGCCTAGTGCGAGTTTATTTTTTCGTAAATGCAATCAAAACGTTACTCTGTCTAGCACTCTGATTGGTCAGCACTAATTAACCAACCAGAGTGCTAAACTACAAAAAACTCGCCTAGGCCCTTTCATCATTGCCCACACAATCGACCCATCTTTTCATTGGTAGCCCCCTTTTTTCGATTCCTTTGGATCTGGTATCAAATATTTATTTACAAGATTGCAAAACCCGACAGTTGAGGCATGCAGTCAAAAAACTAATACGGAAACAAGTGACCACATGTCTGCAACACTTACATAATCTGTCTGGGGCCAGTCTAGTGCATTCAGTGTTTTAATTTAGGTAATCTATGCTTATAAAACATTTATAACCTATGCTTAAGTAGTTGGCCGCGAAATATACTACGAACACGTACAATTTGGTATGCACAGATTACCTAGTACCTACAGAAACAATAGCAATTTTTCCACTAAATTACATACCTAATTTAAAATGAATATATTTTGAAACCGTTGGTTAGCAAAGTAGCAAAACAATAGTTACCGTCGCCGTACTGAATCAATCTTTATTGTCAGACCTGCAGCTGTAGCCAAATGCCATTTAGCGCTTGTCTACATGTAGGTTAGAAAACCAAATTATATGGAATTGACGCATATTTTGTCACTTGTCAGTGTCATACATTTTGATTTCTGCTCTCTCTGTAGACAAGCGCTGAAGTATCGTTTGGCTAAAGGCCATGTATACAAAATAACTGTAGGCTATACTTTAAATGTCGTTTTTCAGTTGAGGCATACCTCATCTTGAAAAAGACATGATAAAAGAGGAGTGTATTTTTTCACCAAGTCGTCGTCAGTCATTCAGGTCTACTGCCATCTATGAATTTCAGTTATACTTCATTACATAGAATTTCAGTTTGCTGGTACCGAGATGCGACCCTGAAACCTTTTTTTATTCAACATACGTAGGTACTCTTTCCACTTGATCAACCAGTTAGGACGTATCTAAAGTAATGCAATTAAAGAAATAAAACACACGTTATCAAAGTATGTATACGAGCTGGTTTTGCAAGACAACGTATTGGGTAATGAGTTGAATAAATAATTGGGTTAATATGTGTATGAACCCAATTAAGTAATTAAGTATCAGTTATTTAGTACTTAGATTTTATTGTTGGAATTATGAACAATAGTTGGTACAATAAGATACTCCTAAAATAAATCCTATACTAACGTGTTCCGTAACATCGACGCGAACTGGTGGGTGGACACGAACAGGTGAACTTACTCGACAGGAAATTATTGTCTAAAAATATTTTATGGTCTATCAATACCAATAAAGTAATTTACGCATTAAAAAATGCAAACTTGTGTTATTTTGATTAAAATTGTTACCATCTGCACTCTGCAGTCAATTTTAATTCGTGTGAAAGTTGCTAAACTTGATATTATATCGACATTTCATAATAAAAGCGAACATTAGGTAGGTATCATACGAGGTCAGGTTAAATCTAGTCTAGAAACAAAAGTAGGAAAAATATTTTTGGAACAAACATTTGCATATTTAAAAAGTAAATAAATATGTATGTAAAAGGTATATTAAGAAATATATAATAGTTTATAGATACCTCATATTTTGGAATAGGATTTTTTTTAATGTGGGGAATGCATCGAACTGACTGCTACCGCCTGGGTGAGGCGAGAGGGAGTGTCCAGACTCTTACTGACTAAAAACCACCCTATTCTTTCACCTGCACGTCGCGCCGGAGCCATGGTAACCCGTTTGGTTCTCCGCAACTTTGGAATAGGATACTAGGATAATTAGGTACCAAGCCACCCCAGTGACCTGGGATCCCGATATACGAATGAAGTTCATGAGAACCGCTTGCCTTATTAGGAAGGATCCGCTCATTGCGTTCATGACTGAAAATCCATAACCACATTAAAATAATCATAAACATCATATGTGTTAACTAAATACAAAATTTACTTTTATGTGATTCAATGTTGACAAAAAGACCTGAATCATATATTTTAAACCAACCTTGCGATTAAAATCTTAGAATTCCCATGTTGCTTGAAACGTAGGTACATGTAGGTACTTATTGTCCACAATCGCACCTGGTTTTTCATGATAACATCACAACTAATTTTGTTCGGTAAAACCTATTTGCGTGAAAATTGTGCGAATAGTGCGTCATGTCCTATGAATGATGTGGTTTCGCACAAAATTTCTCTAAATAGGTATTAGACATCTCAAAGCCTAACGCTTTAATAAGGACATCTTGGAGAGGTGATAGAAGATGTTAGAAAAACGAGTTTAATATTATCTTGCGACTAGTAAAAGAATACAAGCATTATTAATTTATTATCTTACTAATAGGTAATCTAATAAATTGCATATATCGCTGTCACAATATTGCGAAAAACTAAATCAAGGTTCAATAATAGTCTAATCGCAAACATTATTTTGTTCATATCGCAAACGTTATCAGAATTGAACCTTTTATATAATAAACTAGCTTTTACCCCTTCGCTCGCGTCACAAAAGGATAAAAAGTAGCCTATGTGACATATACGAATAAACACAGCGCCATCTACACCAATAATTTTGTTTTCCCTCGGGAATATCAAATTTTTCCGGGATAAAAAGTACCCTATTATTTAATCTAGACTTCTAACTTTATATCTGCAAAATTTCAAAGCAATCGGTTCAGTAGTTACGGCGTGAAAGCAGAACAAACAAACAAACTCACTTTCCGATTTATAATATTAGGAAGGATTTTCACATTTGACACTTTCACCATTGGAAAACTAACCTTTCCAGGAAAATCATACGCTACTTTTGGTAGTGGTGCCGATATTTGTAATGGTTCGAGACCTTTTCTTTTTTATTACCTGGGAATTCAAAAGGCGCCTAGCTTTTTGGGGAGAAATACTAGGGAGTGTGGGATTCGTACCTCACTAAAACCACCCCGGTGGCCACCCTCAACACCTGCAAGGGGCACCGGGTCCTCTGAATAGCATGATTCGAAACCTACTCAAAAGAAATCTAATCAACATAGTTTCATAGAACAACCTTTTCAAGGATTACGGACGAGTAATATAATACTTTACAAGCTACTCTCGCGCTGATTGTCCTTATATATAGCCATCTTTGATAAATGATCTATCCAACACAAATTCGAACCAATAGTCGGAGACGGAACGGAGATCAGCGCGTTCAAACGCATTAGGTATATTGTAACATAAGTTCGTAATGATTTGTTGATACTTATTCAGGGAAAAACCTTACCAAACATTCAGTTTACTCAGCCGTTTAAGCAGATTCAATCTCAAGGGTACTCAGTCAGTATAAAAGTCATTATATTTTTTGTCTTCA